TAAGTGGAATATGTGTTGTTAGTTTAGGAGTAGATTATATTGGCGGTTCGAAAAAATATATATAGGATGCAATGGATCTATTGCAAGGACATTACATTGTTTCCGTATCTCGAGACATGATTCCAAAAAACCCAAAAAAGAGGGTCGACTCCTTTGGGTTTTTTTTTTTTTTTTTTTTTTTTTTGGGGGGGGGGGGGGTCTTTCCCTCTTGCTTTTGCATTGATTGCCATGGGATTCTTTTTCGCCATGTTGTCACTAAGGCAAGGTGACTTGGTTCAAAACCCTAATTAATCAAGTTTCATATTTTCAACATTTAATTAAATCGTTTTTTTTTTTTTTTTTTTGTAGTAGTAGTTCGGAATGATATTTGACAACTAGTATTTTCCCTATTTTGGGGGGATTAAGTTTAGAAATAGTAGCATCTGTGAAAGCCAATGGTCGGGTTTTCTGTAATCGACCTCGTCTACACATACCTTCATGATGTGATTTTGGCTTGCAACCGAAGAACTCATTTTTTGGCCTCTTTGAAGGGCTTGTTCATTCATCATATCACACATATAATTATGTAATATTTTTTTGGTTGTTTGAAATTGTAGGTATTAAAATAGGGCTTAACTTTTTTCTTTTATTTTTCAAATATGTAAGTCAAATATTGGACCCAGTTTTATCTTCTGTCTTGTACAATGATTTGTTTTGATAAAAACATTTGAAGGAACTAAATTTTGGAATGAATGTAATGTGTTGAATGATATATATATATATATTTCCTTTCTTGTTACTTGCAGCAAAAGTGTATAAATGATTTGTCATGTTTTTGGAACTTGGCCGTGTTCTTGGTTTTTGAGGGTTGGTATACAAAAACATTTTAAAGCAGAGTTTGAGATGAATGAACCTTGATGTAACGAATAAAGTTTTTGGTATGAAATTTATATGTTACTGAAAGCGGAAGTTCTTGAAGTCGACTTTATATATGGTATATTGAGGCATTTTAAATGAGATTGGCTTTGAAGGTGCGGTTTAGGACTGGATCATATCAAGTAGTATGGGGTACTTGTAAGTAGTAGTGAAAGAGGGTTGATATTTAGAGGCATTAATGTGGGGAGTGATTTAATTGGTTCTTGCGACTCTATCTATGTAAGCGACAAAATTTGTCATAAATCAACCTTTGTATATTTTAAATTTAGAGAACCATCATTAGTTTGTGTTCGATATTACAATGTATATTGTCTTTTGCTAACCACTGAATTCAAGGTAACATGTTTGAGATTAAAATCTATATTATCTTTCACACGTCTGAGATGGAAAAGAGGAATGAGGTAACTTATTTGGCAATAGACATGGAGGCCATTAAAGTCACTACTACTATCCTATAGGCTATGAAGACCCATTTCCTGTTTGTATGTCTATATGGATATCCTGAAGTTTAAAGGAAAGACAAGTCCCGATGACTTTATTAGTTGGATTAGAACTGTTAGAACACATGTTTGATATCTGCAATATCTCCAAATCGAATTTGGAGGCCATGCCTCAAATTGGTCGGACTACATGAAAAAACAACCCCATATGGAGAACAAGGGCAAGATCGCTACTTGAGACAAGATGCTAAATGCCTTTTTTTTCATAAGTTTCTACCCGTCAATTTGCATCGAGATATTTTTTTACATTATCTCCAATTGTCCCAATATACCTTTTAGGGTGGGAGAATACATCCACGAGTTTGAATCCCTCTACATGAGATGCAACGCTAACACAAAATAAGAAGAAACGATTGTTTGTTTTGAGTAGTCCTAAGTTGTTGATCCATTAGTTTGTGAATTACCCTGTTCCCGAGTTCAACTTCCCGAGTTCAACTTAACGAGAGAAAAAAAAATATGTGGAAATGAGAAGAAAATAAAAGAAATTGATGTTTCCGAGTTTAATTGAAGAAATAAAGTAGATAGAAATGGAATGATCACTTTCCCTCTTAAATTTCCTTTTGATTTGGGAGGATTTGGAAATAAAGAATAGAATGATTAATTTTCGTTCCACTTTTCTCCAAATCAAGAATACAAAAGAAAATTTTGTTTTCCTTTCCTTTTTCTTCTTTTCTCTTCTGACTTTATTTTCTTTTCTTTTGTTAAAATTCGGGAACTAATGTATATAATGATGTATGTCAATTTTCCTTGAAAATAGAAAAACAACGAAAGACCCACACCAAAATGATAGGGACCATTTTGCACTAATTCAAAAACTCATCCAACACCCTCACCTTAGATTAAATCCCCAACAAGGTGGATTTGATATGATATAGAATTTGAATCTAATCCCATATTTTGTTTGGTGGCGACGGTGGTAGTGGTGGTGGTGATGGCGGTAACGGTGGTGTTGGTGGCGATAGAAGTGGTAGGTGATGGTAGCGACGGTGACGACAATAGTGGTGGCGACGATGGTAATGGTGGTGATGGTAGTGACGACAGTGACGGTGGCAGTGGTGGTTGGTGGTTGGTAGCAATAATGGTGAGTGTTGGTTTTTTGATAAGTAATGGGGATGTTTTTCTAATTTGCCACTTTCTTTGATAAGAAGTAAAGTTTTTCATCCACCTTTAGAAGAAATCTGCTTTCTTCCATATGATAGAAAATTTATTTCATTTAGGAATTCATTTTCTCCTTCTATGTCCAACAAAACACATGAATTTAAGGAAATTAAAATCATTTTCCTTTGAATTTCAATCATTTCCTACCAACCAAACATGCCTCTGCCCTCTGATATTTTTCATGAATATATTCATTCCTATCATAAATTTTGGACTTTTAATCAACCTATGTGTGACTTTAGTATTATCCTATATTTGGAAGTAGTGAACTACATTAACCAAAACATAACTCTTCTTGCTAAGGATGAAGGAAAAAAATGATATAACTCCACAAGTTTAAAACACAAGGTCCATTAACAACATTAGTATGTAAGTGATTTTTGGGCATAATTTGATGAAACGTCTTACAAACCTAAATTGATATGAACCAACATAGTCAGGGCCGTTCCATTGTTTTTTACTGCCCGGGGCAAGATAAGAATTTTATGCCATTATATATAAAAAAATTACAAAATCAAAAATACATTAACACTTATAATCAACCAAATAATTCAAATAAAAACTTACAAAAATCATCTAAAAGCATGTCGTTGTGCATTTTTTGAAGCAAAAACATCACTTATTTTACAATAATCAATATTTTGTTACCACTAGAAGTCGAAAATCTTATTAGAAAGGATCTTTAGACACAACGCCAGAAATATAGTTCCTGCTTCACATCACAAAAACAATAACACAAAGGTTTAGGAAAGATGTTTAGAAAAAAAAAATACTGAACACAAACAGATTCGAAATTAAACTCATCAGAATCTAAATCTTAATATCTGATTTCTAAAAAGGCATATACAAATAAGATTTGGAGAAACAACATATAAAATTTGATTTTCGAAACACCTCAAACTTGAAGAAACATAATAGAACTCACACAAATTTGCTTACAGAAACAACACCCAAATCAGATACAAAATCCAATAAGTAATAAATAAAATAGATTTATGAAACAAAACTAAACAAACACTTGTTTCGAATGAACTTATCCAAATCTGCTTTCAGAAAACAAAACCTACATCTGATTTATGCAACAGTAAAAATATGATATAAAAATGAAAAATCCAATAAGTTTTTGAGGCTTTCATTTTTTACCTACGTAATCAAATAGAGTAGAAATCAAATAAATAAAAAATTAATCTGATTTATAAAACAAAACCCAAATAGAATGAACTTGTTGAATAGTTGGAATCTCAGTCTGATATCTTTTGAATTTACAAGTATAGAAACTCATCGAAGATAAAGGCTTTGATGCTACTTGTTATTTTGAATCTCAAACTCTTTTCAAGTTAAATCGATGAATCTCATACTCTCATTCCATTTTTGAAAATAACTTATGAAAACAAGTTAAATAAAAAATTAATTAGTTTCTTGAACAAACCTAAATTAAATAAACATATATTTCAAATGAACTCGCCCAAAATTTATTTCTGAAACAATCAACAAGAAACAAATCACATCCAAATCAAGGAATCACTAAATCAGAACTTCAGAGGCAAATATTAGAGAAAATCAGAACTTAAAACCGGACTAGATCAACGAAATCACTAATATATCGAGATTAAATGTTAGCTGATAAAAAAGAAACTGAGATAATAAGATTTGAGAGCTATATGTTATCGATTTATCAACTAGAAGTGAAAAATAAAGAAATCAAATCTTATTATTTTTTTTATTTATTGGAGACATTTCTAGGTAGAAAATATTGCATTGATTTCTCCCATCCACGAAACCAACAGGTTTCTGGGCAATAGGCACCAGGCTAGAGGCAACGTTTGCTTTATCGATGCGCATGATCAATGAGATGATGATTCTTCATTTGTTTGAAGCTTGTGTTTCCTTTCTCAACGTTCAGTCGTTCAGATCACAAAACAAAGTTTTTGGGCCATTATAATATGTAATATATATGAGATTTTTTAATATGTGCCCTAAGGGTACACGTAAGAAATATTAATTATGAAAAATATTACTATAATTAAATTCAAAATACATTTATTATGAAAATTATTAATGCACTTCACATTTAATTATGGTAATATTTCTTATAATTAATGTATTTTATAATTAACTATGGTAATATATATCATCAATGCTTGTTATATATACTATATATACTAAGGTTATATACAGAAAATCCTAATATATATTATTAAACTATTTTGATGCTTTTAAAATTTCGTGCCTAAGCCCAAGTCGTCCATGTGTTGGGCCGGCCTAAACATAGTAAAATTACGTTAAACTTAAACAGCTTATTAAGACACTTTTGGGCATATAAAAGTTGCAAATTACAACGTATACCAAAAAAAGTAGATTTATTTATAGAGAATAGGAACCATATTAATTAATTAATAATAATAATAATAACAACAACGTCATAAATCAGGCCTCCTTCTTTTTCTTCTCCAAATAGAAATAATTCTTTTGGTATTTCAAGATCGCCCAAACAACATGTCGCAACCCCATCTCCGGCCACAACGCCTTCGGAGAATACAACAAACTGTTACTGGTTTGCCACAGCAAAAAGTTGCTCAGCCGCGTCTCGCCAGAGCTCCTCACTAGAATATCAGGATCCGGCGCCACCCCCATATACATCTTCTTCTCCAAATCCACCACTTTGATCACCTCCTCCTGCTCTTCCTCCACTTCCCCAACTTTCCGGCGACTTTTCTCCTCGCAAGCTTCATAAATAGAACGCGGAATTTCATGCGACGAAGTATATGCCACACAGACCAAAAGATAAGTTTTCTTGTTCATAGCCGTCGCTTCCATGGCCTTCTCCGCCGCTATTCTCACCGGATCAGAAAGCCGATTCAGATCCCCAATAAACAACACTCGGATTCCATACCGATTCACCATATCTAATTCTTTCAAAAACCCTTGGATCTTTTCGTGCATTAGATCCATTACGTATTGGACTTCATCTGGGCGTCTCTTGAAGTTATCGAGGCTGAATGCGTAAACGGTGACGTACTTCACTCCCATCTCGTAGCAGTATTTTAGCAGCGACATGAGTGCTAGGAATCCGGCTTTGTGGCCTGCACCTTCTTCGAGCTTCCATTTTTTTGCAAATCTTCGGTTTCCATCCATGATGAAGGCGATGTGTTCTGGGATTGGACCAGATGATATCACTCGAAACAAGAATCGTCTCATGCTGATGTTTAATCCTCCTACGAACCTGCTAACGACGCCAGTTGGTTTTTCTTCCTCCATTTTTTCTGTCAACAATCAATTAGAAACAGGATTGAAGACACATCAAAATTTGATCATTGATAGATGTCAGAAATTGTTTTGTCAAATTATAGTTAAACACAGTGCTGATATACGTTTATGAACGAAAACAATGGAGCTCTAACACTGTAATAAGGAAATTATGTGGAATCATTAAGAATTGAGTTGCGATCATCCAACACTTAAGTCTCTGTTTGATGTCATTCGAACAAGAATTGAAACAGAGTATGGAGAATTATAAACTCTTACAGTGCTTTAGTTTATGTTAGCGATGGATATCACTGGTGAAGAAGAGAATCCGCTTATTTCTGTTCATAAAAAAATTTCCAATTCATGATATATACTCAAAGAGACGGGGGCAGAGAGAAATTAGTGAACGAGATTAAAGGGGAGATAAAATTGTTCAAGAACATTCCATGGACCGGTCATCAACCTCATATATACACCTTAACTAAATTATCCTAATTTTTGTGAATAACATTTTCACAAAGAACATATAATATTTATAAAATTAAAAATATTTGCAACATCTGTCCAACAACTTATTGGCTACATTTGGAAAAAGGATCGTATTGCCACATATGGTTAAAAATATGTTAGACAATTCTGGATTGTGGTTAGTGACCACGGAAGAGATCACATTCAAGAGGAGAGAGCGATAGGCAACATCAACGTCAGACAATGTCTCGTAAGATTAAAGATGGATATTTTATAACAATAGTAAAAGCGTTATGCTCCTCTAGTGTTGCTCCATTCGGTGGTAATACCATGAAGATATTAGTGGCTTAATTATCTCAAGCACCATATTTTATGAACATTACCTTGTAGTGGAGATTAATAGTTTCCCTGGTTGTATTAAATCGTTTCCAAAAGGACTCTGTGGAAGAGACGATTTGAGAGCACAACATATTTTTGATGCTTGATGCGGAGAGGGTCTGATGTAACCCCAAATCTCATACTTGCAATCACCGTAGTGACTAATATGTGGTTAGACGGACTTGTTTGTTGAGTTCTACACTGTAACATCCCAAAAAACCAAGATAAAATTTTTCATTTTTATAAAAACATTTTCACAATAAACCATATATAAACAACCATTGTTTTCAAATCATATCCACAAAAATCAGAATATCAATGCAATCTCTCAAAGCATAAAACAATAGGAGGATGTGTACGGTCATACATTCGCCTTCACACGATCATCAGAAGTACCTAAAAACATAAAATCAACAACTACAAGCCAAAGCTTAGTGCATTCCCCTAAAATATCACACACAACAATACATATCCAATGTATGCACACCAGACCAACAACACAAGACTGGACCGCCCGCGAGCCTACAACATAAAACTGGACCACTCCCGAGCTTGCAGCATATAAATGGACTGCTCCCAGGTATGTTGGCCTACAACACAAATCTGTACCACCTCAACCAAACCACACTATCCTGAGACTACAACACAAATCTGGACCGCTTTCGAGCCTGCAATATATAGTTAGAACGCTCCTAGGTATATTGGCTCACAACACAAAGCAGTACCGTCTCAACCCAACCACATGACGTCGACAAGTAATCAATAACCAACAAGTACATGTAATTATACAGATCTACCAATATAACAGATCACTACAACATAACAACATCCTATACACAAGGATATATAACACGATCTAGTGGTCCAACATTAGTGCCTTCGACCCACGAGTACAGTAAGAAAACTCACCTCGAAGTCTAGAAGACAGCCGAACTGATCACATATCCAAATATTGGCTCTACGGATCACCTATACAACAAACAAGGATAAAGTCTCAAACCACAACCCAAAATCCTCAATTTAACCTAAAGTCAAAATTGGTCAAAGTCAACTGTTGATGATCAAAAGTCAACAGCTAGTTGTCACGATGTAGACAAGATTATACCACATCGTGGGGATAATAAGACAAAATAGACTAGATTCTGCCAAATGCCACTACATGGTGACTAAACCTCCACGCCGTGGGGACTATCTCGACCAACTTAATCTATTAAGCTCTTAATCCTTTTCCCCACTCATCCAAACTTTCCAGAATGCTTCCATACTCCCAAAAGATCATAAAAATCGCAGCTTTATAGACATGCATGTGCAATGCATGTCTTAAGCTAAAGCTAGGTCAAAATAGTGTAAAATGGGGCCAATATGTCATGCAAGAGCTCAAAACTCAATCAAACTCTATATCTATTACTTCCAAGTATAAAGGGACTCTGGGGATCCATAAAGTTGGCAACTTTATGGAACCCTGACACTCCAAGTAGCCTAAACATGAAGAAAAGCATAAGAAAATCTAGACCTAAGCACATGGAGTCATAAAGTTTGGAACTTGAGGACATACATGAGTCCATAAAGTATGCATAAAGAGGATGGGGAGTGTTACTTGCTTAAAAAAAGCTCAAGGGTCACCTTCTTCCTATTCAAGTCACCACCAAACACCACAAAAGCTCAAAAGTTAATAATGGAGGCTAGGGTTTGCTTTGGGACTGAGAGAGAGTGTTAGAGGTTGCGGGTTGGCAACTCTAGCCATCATATTCCTTAAATAGGGGCATAAACCATGGAAATTAGGATTTCCCATTAAATGGAGGCCACGCCGTGGCCAATAGATTGCCATGTCATGGCTTAAACTTAATCCTCACGTAATCTTAGGCAATGGTCACATCGCGGGCATCCATGTGCCAAACGTCGTGGCATAGGGTTTTCTCCAAAACCCCCATCCCTGATTCTATTAAGTCGTAGATGATCTATTCAGGAAAAAAAGGGATGTTACAGACATAGTATATTGCGTATGCTCCTTTTATCTCACTTCTAAAACTCGACAATGAAATCGGACCTATTAGAGTGAATATTATATGGATATTGTAACGCCCGGTTCATGGTATGTATTTTAATAAGAATTATTCATTTTTGCAAAGGGAATCGATGATTTGGAGGCCCAAAACTCGTCGAGTAGAAACATATTTTTAGGATGTGGGACTTGAAGTCTACTCAACGAGTTGAGAAGCCTCAACTCGACGAGTAGGGCTGCCGGAGTGAAACCCTAATTTTAAGGGTTTGCACCCTATTTAAGGACCTTAACACTCTATTATGGCCTCCCTCATCGCCTACCTTAGTCTAGCAAAACCCTAATTCATGATCTTGAGCCTTGTGAATGTGTGTGGGTGAAAAATGTAACGAACCAAATTTCACATCCAAAAATTTTATTTTTAAATCAATACTTTAGAAAACATTTGTAAATAAAACATTGTCTGATCAAACCATTTCATAACATACATCGTGTCTGAAAACCGAAATATGAAAACAATCAAATATCAGAGTACAAAATCCCAGAATGACTCATGGTGCGGAAAACAATGTGCGTGTATGATGTGCCGCTACCGCGCCAGCTCCTTCCCCTTCGATGAAGAGGTACCTGAAAACAAAACTATAAACCGTAAGCATGAAGCTTAGTGAGTTCCCCCATTGTACCACATACCATATAACCACATAACATACATATATTGTCAGGCATATATGGGTGCCCGACCTACCCCTTCGGTCCTCTCGACTGGACACTGACTAGCATATCTGGGTGCTGGTCTCCCCTTCAGTCCTCTCGACCGGATGCTGACTAGCATATCTGGGTGCTGGTCTCCCCTTCGGTCCTTTCGACCGGATACTGGCTAGCATATCTGGGTGCTGGCCTCGCCTTCGGTCCTGTCGACCGGTAACCGAGAACTATTTTCACCCTCTACTACTATCACATAATATCATATCACATATATCATAATCTGGCTAGCATGGTTGGGTATTAGACTACCCCTTCGGTCCTATCGATCGGTAACTGGGGACTACTTCACCCCTACTACCACTATCACATAACATCATAAAATACTAGCACATAAACATATTAAGTAGTAGAAAACCTAGATGAATATCACAAAGATAATCATCTAACATACAACTCCTACTGGTGGGCTGGCATTGTGGCTGTAGACCTACCACTACTGGAAGGTAACTCACCTCGAAAAGTAGCTGCTAAAAGTCTGCTTGCTAAGTGCCTGACTACTGAACCGGTAATCCTCCGACTATAAATCATAAACATAGATTAGCCACTCATAAATACCCTTAGGTCAGATGACTGACCCACCCTTGGTCCAAGGTCAACTCCTTGGTTAAAGTTAACTTCCAGTTGTCTGGACTCGCCGAGTCATGGCACAGACTCGCCGAGTCCTTCTCCTACTAACCCGGTCCTACTCGACAAGTCCCTCTTCCCACTCACTGAGTCACCCTTAACTCACTACTTGGGACGATAGAACTGACTCGCGATCCAACTCGCTGAGTCCAAGAACAACTCGTCGAGTCCCCACGAGCATATCTCCAACTCGCTTCCAAATCCTCACTAGAGCATCCTTTATGAGGATTTGGGTTTCTAGGACTATTTCTACACGTTAAATTGCTAATTCTGCATGCAGATACGAAGGGTTGGACCTTCAACACCTAAACCACTCTTACTCATGTAACAGTTCATATGACTCACCAAGTTTGAAGAACAACTCGTTGAATTCCAGGAAATCTTCATAGGACTCGCTGAGTTGTTCATCTAACTCGCCGATTCTAAGACCATCTTTATAGAACTCACCGAGTTCTAGTTTGTGACTCGCCGAGTCCCTTCGACCCATTTTGTAACAGCCCGAAATTCAGGTTCAACCATTTAGTCCTTCATCTTTTAATAATTGTCATTTTGGCCTTTGTGATGGGCGAGTACGCTGGGCGTACAAAGAGTACGATGCGCATACTCACACGCCCAATTAAACGCGTTGTCACCCGGGTACTCTGGGCGTACCTAAGGTTACGCCGGGCGTAACCGGTCCAGACCCAAAACCCTAATATGGCTTGGTGGCTATAAAAGGAATGAGATGGCCTTATCCCTCAGCCATCATCCTTCAGAAAGAAACCCTAAGAGAGTTGTT